CCTCCGCCCTCAGTTCCATTCCCTCAGCCCTCACATTCACTCCCTCCCTTCCCTCACATTCATACCCTCTGCCCTCCCATTCATTCCCTCCCTTCCCGCCCATTCATTCCCTCTGTCCTCACCTTCGTTCCCTTCTTACATCACATTCATTCCCTCTGCCGTGCCATTCGTTGCCTCCCTTCCCTTCCCGCCCATTCATTCCCTCTGTCCTCACCTTCGTTCCCTCCTTACATCACATTCATTCCCTCTGCCGTGCCATTCGTTGCCTCCCTTCCCGCCCATTCATTCCCTCTGTCCTCACCTTCGTTCCCTCCTTACATCACATTCATTCCCTCTGCCGTGCCATTCGTTGCCTACCTTCCCTCACATTCATTCCCTCCGTTCCCTCACATTCATTCCCTCTGCCCTCACATTCATCCCCTCCTTTCCCTCACATTCATTTTCTATCCGATCTCACCTCCCCTCCATATGTAGAACCACCCTACTTTCCCTCCTCTGACCTCACCTCCTTTTCCCTCCCCCGATGAACTCACCTCCCCTCCCCACGCTGTACTCACCACACATCCCCGCTGAACTCTCCTCCCTCCCCTCTCTGGCCTGTCCTCCATTCCCCCTCTTTCAATTCATCCTATTTGCTGTGCAGTGTGAACCCTTCATCCATGCCTTCACACCCCTTCCACCATCTGCCAGAAATTCCATTCTCCCCTTTCCATCTCTGTCCTTTCCATCTCCACCCTTTCCCCCGATTCGTCTCCTCCCCTCTGCACCGCATGCCATGTGCTCTCTTTCCCCTCATCTCAGCACCTCCCTTTCCCCTAAACCCATCTCCTATGCCGTCCCCCCATGCCACCTCATCCCCCTACGCACCTATCTTCCCCGTTTGCTCTCTCCCCCTTTCTCCCTCTGATCTCTCCTCCTTTCCGCTTTGCTAACATCTCGCCCTTTCTCTTTCCCATCGTCTTTCCCCCTTTGACCTCTCCTCCTTTCCCCATCTGACCTCACGATACTTTCCCCTATGCCACCACATATTTCTTCCCTGCCAGAACCCCCTTTGCCCTCACGCAGCACCCCGCCCCCCCCTCCAAATTGACCCACCAACCCTTTCATGTCTGACCCATCGGCAGCAAGCCCCCTCTATACTCACCTCCCGGACTCCTTATGACCAACTCTACTCTTTGACCCCACCTCCCCCTTCGCCATCTCCCCCCTTTCCCCCCGCCATCACCTCTCGCAGCGTTGGCGGCAACTGAGCAGAGGGAGCAGAGAACGGCGTTGGTGAAAGTGTGGTAGGAGAGAGGGCGCTGGCGAAATACGGACCCATGTACGGTTATAGTGTTACAACCACGCAAAACAGTTGCTAAGCTAGTTTTAATTACGCGTGGAACCAACTTTGTCATGTGGCTTCGTGCTGCTACAGTAAACATGTTTGGGGAGAGTGCGACGCACGGCGCTACTTATCAAGGGGGAGAGAATTGCAGAGAGCTGCGTATGTCTAAGTGTCCCCATGGTGGTACCCTGCATCACATCAAGCATGGGTTGACTGGTTTAGGTGTAATGATGTAGTGATACATGTTCTTTGCTCCTTCGAAGAGCAAACTTTGCTACAATTTAGTGGCATACACACTAGCAAACGTGATGGCTAGCATTTACTCACACAAGGATTACAACATGCATATTCACACAACACGCGACTCTTGTGTCTCGACCATGTTCGCTACATCCGCGCCCACCGGGGGGCTGCGCATGGTGAAGTCAATCTCACTAGGGATTGTCCAAGACGTGAACCAGTCTACATCTGCCTGGCTACACCCCACGTAACCTTCATCTGAAAGCTCTGGGTAAAGTGACCCTATGACTACGTACACAAGCCATGGCAATGTAACGTGTGCAAACGGGTGGTCTCCTAACAGTTTGGAGTACTCGACGTAGCAACGGAAACGGTGGTTTTTTGCTACTATTGGTTGCCCATCTGCATCCTCCAGCGTGTTCTTTCCAAGACAGATATGCAGGACACTCTCAACAGTAACCCTCTCGTCCGTATCACCACTTTCCTGCCCCAGACCGAGCTCGTTTATGGCCCACTGTTCAAGCACAGAGCTTTGCTTTGGACATTCGATGGCAAACTCAGACAGGGACCAACGTTCCTTAGGATAAAAAAGCTGTGGCGGCAACCCAGTTGGCTGTACAACCCTACGTCGGGTCACCCTTTCAACGGGCCGCCAACTGCTGGCAACTACCGAGCGACCAGGTACACCATTGTTGTTCCTTGCGGTTCGGGATGGGACGGAAGAGGTTGATCCCGCCTGTCCCTCCATACCCTCCTCGTCATCCTCCTCTCCTTCAACTCCCATCCTGAACCCCAGCCGGATCCGACGACGCCGTCGAGAATCCCACCGATACATCTTCCTTGGACCTGGAGACGAGGACATAGGACGGGGCAGAGGTAGGTATGACTGGGCGTTATGTTGGGAAGAGAGCGGGGAAGGGAGGTGATCGAAGAGGATGGCGGGATGGGAGATTGGGGGACGGGGGTAAGGTCCTACTGACCTTACCTCTCTCCCCCCACTGACCTTACCTCCCTCCCCCATCTGACCTCTCCTCCCTCCCCCATCTGACCTTACGACCCTCCCCCATCCTACCTTACCTCCCTCCCCCATCTGACCTAACCTCCTTCCCCCCACTGACCTTACCTCCCTCCCCCATCTGACCTCACCTCCCTCCCCCATCTGACCTAACCTCTCTCCCCCATCTGACCTTACCTCTCTCCCCCCACTGACCTTACCTCCCTCCCCCATCTGACCTTACCTCCCTCCCCCATCTGACCTTACCTCCCTCCCCCATCCTGCTTTACCTCCCTCCCCCGTACTGACCTAACCTCCTTCCCCGCGCTGACCTTACCTCCCTCCCCCATCTGACCTTACCTCCTTCCCCCCACTGACCTTACCTCCCTCCCCCATCTGGCCTCACCTCCCTCCCCCATCCTACCTTACCTCCCTCCCCCAACTGACCTAACCTCCTTCCCCCATTCGACCTCACCTCCCTCCCCCATCTGACCTTACCTCCCTCCCCCATCTGACCTAACCTCCTTCCCCCCACTGACCTTACCTCCCTCCCCCATTCGACCTTACCTCCCTCCCCCATCTGACCTTACCTCCTTCCCCCCACTGACCTTACCTCCCTCCCCCATCTGACCTCTCCTCCCTCCCCCATCTGACCTTACGACCCTCCCCCATCCTACCTTACCTCCCTCCCCCATCTGACCTAACCTCCTTCCCCCCACTGACCTTACCTCCCTCCCCCACTGACCTTACCTCCCTCCCCCATCTGACCTAACCTCCTTCCCCCCACTGACCTTACCTCCCTCCCCCACTGACCTTACCTCCCTCCCCCATCTGACTTTACCTCCCTACACCATCTGTCCTTACCTCCTTCCCTACACTGACGTATACCTCCCTCCCCCCTCTGACCTCACCTCCCTCCCCCATCTGACCTTACCTCCCTTCCCCCCACTGACCTCACCTCCCTCCCCCCTCTGTCCTCACCTCCCTCCCCCCTCTGACCTTACCTCCTTCCCCCCTCTGAACTTACCTCCCTCCCCCCTCTGACCTTACCTCCCTCCCCCCTCTGACCTCACCTCCTTCCCCCCACTGACCTCACCTCCCTCCCCCCTCTGACCTTACCTCCCTCCCCCCTCTGACCTCACCTCCTTCCCCCCACTGACCTCACCTCCCTCCCCCCTCTGACCTTACCTCCCTCCCCCATCTGACCTTACCTCCTTCCCCCCACTGACCTCACCTCCCTCCCCCCTCTGACCTTACCTCCCTCCCCCCTCTGACCTTACCTCCTTCCCCCCTCTGTCCTTACCTCCCTCCACCCACTGACCATACCTCCCTCCCCCATCTGACCTCACCTCCCTCCACCCTCTGCCCTCACCTTCCATTCCCCCCTCTGGCCTCACATCACTCCCCAATCTGACCTTGCCTCCCTCCCACCTCTGACCTTACCTACCTCCTGCCTCTGACCTCACATCCCTCCCCCCTCTGATCTCACATCCCTCCCCCCTCTGACGTTACCTCCATCCCCCCTCTGACCCCACCTCCCTTTCCCATCTGACCTCACGTCCCTTCCCCCCCTGACCTTACAGCCCTCCCCCCTCTGACATCACCTCCCTTCCCCCACGGAACCACCCTCCCTCCCCCTTATGGCATAACCTCCCTTCCCCCTCTGACCTTACCTCCATTCCCCATCTGACCTCACCTCCCTTCCCCATCTGACCTCACCTCCCTTCCCCCACTGAACTCACCTCCCTTCCCCCTATAGCATAACCTCCCTCCCCCCCCCCGTCCTGACATCCCTCCCCCCTCTGACCTCACCTCCTTTTCCCCCCCGACCTTACAACCCTCCCCCCTCTCACCTCACCTCCGTTCCTTTCCTCACCTCCATTCCCCCTATAGCACCACCTCCATTCCCCCACTCACCACTCCTCCTTTCCCCTTACAGCAATATATCTCTTCCCACATGAGCGCAACGTCCGTCCCCGTTATTGGACAACAGCTCGTTCCGTGGTCTTCTCCTACCCTATACCCCTCTCGCGCCGCCTCACAAAACCTCCTCCCATTCCGCCATCTACCGCCTTTCCGCCTCCCATTCTGTCGTAACGTGGTTTTCGTTCTCGATTTCAGTATGCCTTTCCGCCTCGCCCAACCTTACATGTAAAGCCATCTCATTCCTCCCGGACCCCCCATTTTGCATCTCATTCTGGTCTATACCGCCTTTCCCCCTCCCATTCCGCCCTCTATCGCCATTCCACCCCCCCATTCCGCCCTCTACCGCCTGTCCGCCTCCCATGCCGCCTCCCATTCCGCCCGCTACCGCCTTTCCCCCTCCCTTTCTGCCCTCGCATGTCATCCCGACTCGCCTACTTCCAAGGGCTGCCTTTCAGCCCAGCAAAACCTCCCTCTCTCGCCACTCCGCTTCCCATTCCGCACTATGACGCCATTTCACCCGTCATTCCGCCCTCTTCCACCATCTCCCCCTCCCATTCCGCCCTCTATCGCCTTTCCGCCCGTCATTCCGCCCTCTATCGCCTTTCCGCCCGTCATTCCGCCCTCTATCGCCTTTCCGCCCGTCATTCCGCCCTCTATCGCCTTTCCGCCCGTCATTCCGCCCTCTATCGCGTTTCCGCCCGTCATTCCGCCCTCTATCGCCTTTCCGCCCGTCATTCCGCCCTCTATCGCCTTTCCGCCCGTCATTCCGCCCTCTATCGCCTTTCCGCCCGTCATTCCGCCCTCTATCGCCTTTCCGCCCGTCATTCCGCCCTCTATCGCCTTTCCGCCCGTCATTCCGAGTTCACACTGCACATCCCTTCTCCCATGCCGCCATTCATCCACTCCTTCCGCACATCCCTACTATAATCCGCCATTCATCATCTCATTTCGCCGTTCATCTACTGGTTCTAGCCGTTCAAGGTCTTTTTCTGCCGTTCACCCTCTAGTTACACCGGTCCTACTCTCATTCCACTAAGCCCTTCTCTTTTTTCGCCGTCCCTTTTCTCATTCCGCCGTTCCTACTCTCATTCCGCCGTTGCTACGACGGTTTCGCGCTCCCTATTGTCATTCCGCCCTTCATCCTCCCTTTCCTCCCTTTTTCTTCCCATTCAACCCGTATACACATATTTCCGCCCGTCATGCGGGACCATTCCGCCTCTCTGACTCGCGTTCCGCCGTCGTCATCTCATTTCGCCCTTTATATTTTCGTTCCGCACTTGACGCTCTCATATCGCAATTACTTATCGCATTCCGCTCTTTCGCCCCTCATTCCGCCCATCCTTACTCTTACCTCGCCTATCCCTAACCTATCTCTGCCCGTCCCTAATAATAGCGTGCTCTCGAATGCATACCTTGTTTCTGTGGCGGTTGGGAAGGTGCTCAGTGACGGGACCCTAGAATTGGTTGAGTTTGCACTCTGTTTGAGACACTTCAGTTTTGTTTTCGTGCGACATGCTGTAGTCGTCGAGGTGGGTCGTTCAGGGCTTGATCTGGGCGAACCCTGTCCCCTTAGGCTCGTCCACATTCCAAACCTGACCACCTTGGTTTGTCTTGGCCTCGGCTGTTTTGGAGTTCGCTTTATTTGTTTCACATTCTCGTCACAAATTTCGTTGTTCGTCACCCAATCCCATCCCTGCAAACCCAACCAAGTATTAAACGCTTGGAAATTGGAGACGCGAGCTTTAATGACCGTTGAGAGGACGAACCATCTTATCCTTCTACTGCATCCAAACTCGCTAGGAATCCACCTGCCACCTTATCTACACATCCTAAGCTCCCAGTCTGCACAGCATCACCATCAGCCCAACCAGCACAAGAGGCACCAGCAGCAGCTTCAGAACCAATAGCCATGCCAGCAGCAGCAGGTTCAAGCAGCGGTGCACGGAGCATAGGAGAAAGCAACCCAGCGTCAGCGGCCTTAGCGGCAGGGAGGAAGGGCCTGAGGAAATCACCAAGGGCGTATGACAAAGAAGCAGCGTCACCCGCCACCGCCACTGGAGCTTCAAGCACTGCCGCTGCCAGGGGAGATTCAGACACTGCTGCTGCTAGAGGAGCTTCCAGCACTGCTGCTGCAGAGAATGCACCCACTTCCTGTTGGGCTAGGGACAGCGGGTCAATCCTTCGTCGGGCTGTTGGAGCGGTTGTTTCTGAGAACTCTCCCCATTCCAATCCGCTTTCCAGCTCCTTTGAATCCGGCAGCGCTCTCTTCTTGCTCCACCCCTGCGCTCCATCACTCTCCATCACGGCCCCCAAACCACCCATGCCACTCAAGCCACTCCAGCTGCTCAAGCCACGTATGTCACCGACGCTACCCACGCCACCACCCCAGTTACTCCCCTGGTCCTCATCGATGTTGTGAATGCGCGCTCCTCTCTCTGACCCCTCCTCTTCCTCCGATCTACCCAACCTCTCCTCGTCCTCTCTTCCTCCTGGATCACCTATGTCACCTTCCGTTCCTGCATACCCGTGATCCGTATCATTGGTAACGTAACGAAAACCGGCGAACGCAGCCTGTTCGCGCAGCAGAAGAATCTCCCCCCCTTGTCTCTCCACCTCGGCCCTTAAACCCTCCACCTCCTCCTCCTCGTACCGCGCTTTCTCGACCAGGATTCTCTCTCTCTGCCGGGCCGCTAACTGGTCGGCAGCTTTGTCGTCTTGCAACCGTCGGATCGACTCCATGCTCGCCATCGCAGCGCTGTCCGCTGCCGCCCGCTCCTGCTCCAGCTCCCGTCGCAAACTGTCGTTCAGCACCCACTCTTGCTCGAGCTCTTGTCGCAAAGCGTCGCACGTCGCTCGCGCCTGCTGGAGCTCGTGTTGCAGGGCGTCGTTTTCTTGCGAGTGCAGCTCGCCAGACGTACCCGCTGCGATAGTCCTGCTCCGCCCTTCGCCTCCTCTTCTTAATACAATGTCCTCTTCGCCTGCTGCTGTGGCGAGCTTCGCAACAGCCCTGGCCTCCTCCACCCATCGCCGCATGTTCTCCCCGTCCCATAACCTACCCGGTGAGGTTTTAACGCCTAGCGATGACGAAGACAGTCTGAGTTGATCCCATGGCGCCCACTCATCGCAGCCCACTTGCTCACCGCCCTCGCAACTCCATGTGTAAGCCGCATTCTCCGTGTACTCATCCCTGTGCTCCAGATCCCGAGCCTTACCGTAGAACTCAATATCGCGTACAATGGCCGAGAGCCAGGTCTCGACGAGGCACACGAATCGTACGATTCTCTGTACGACGCGGAGCGGCGGCAAGAGAAACGTCAAGGCGAGTCTGCAGGCGGCGAGGGCGACGAGGGCGCGAAAGAGCAAGAGGAGCGAGCTGAGCGCGTGGATGATCTGCGAGGACATGGAGAGAATCTCAGCCGCCGTGCATCGCGCCGAACGAATTAATGACGTCGACATTCTTCTATCTGTCGGGAAGGGTTTGATTGGAAATTCGTGCGGGTGCGCATTCTTTGTTGCGGCGTTACTGGGGAGGCCGTAAGCGACGGGCTTGCTGAAGCTGATGTTCTGCGCGGATGTTCTGTTGCTCCAAGAGCTGCTTCTGCAGCTATTCGCCAGATCGACCATAGGTTTCAACAAGCATGTGACGCGAACGCTATGAGTAACTCACGAGATGCTAAAATTCCGCACCCATTTGGGTAAGGCGCTGGGCGTCGCTATTTATTGCGAGTTTTGCACCCTTGTCTGCTTGCTGGACCAGCGTCAGCAAGGGGCGCTCTGTGCATAATTGGGGGGTTCGGTGAACAGAGTTTGGTGGGGCAAGAGAAGGGGAGATTTCATGGTCGTGGCCATCGAACGCGCTCCAGATGACAATTTGCTCAATTTGGGTTTCGAATGTGTGCGTGCATTGAATGCGACGCGTGCTTGAAATGCAGAGTATGAGCGACGCGATATACAAAGGAATGGAGTCGGAGTCCGCCACGTGTGAGTGTGAGAAAAACGAGCGTGAAGCGCAACGAGCTGATGTCTGTGTGATGGATGCTTTTTGCGAAGTATGTGTTACAAGAACAGTCGAATCACACTGGCGAGACTGCGTGGAATTCGCAAACCAGGCCGCAACCTCCAAGCGACGTCAACGGTGTTGTGCTTCAAGAATGTACTTTTCGCCCAGCTCGCGAATTTATTCTTGCGAGAGGGCAAGCTCAGTGTTCTGATTCGTTATGCGAAGTGAAAGACCCCCAAACCGTGTTGAATCGGGTAACTGGACTACCCCGTCAATGTGCTCCGAGTCGAAATCTGCCGTGACCTACATTCGACTTGAGCAACCTCCACCTGATGAGTGATGTGATGAGTCGCAGCAGGCTGTGTTGAAAGTAAGGGCGAGTCGAGACAACCTGGCGCAACCCACACCTGCCGCGTCGCATGTGAAACCTCCTCCCGGCAACCATCACTTGCAGCCTGCTGTTCCCTCACTCTCACGTTTGGACGGCCCAGATCATCCCCTGATTGCGACCATCCAGCTCATTCCACACCACACCCAACCCAGACAACTATGCGCGACGCGCCCCCCACATGCGCAAGCAATCTTGATTCTCAAAACGCCCAAAGTGATGAATGCCACTAGCATCAGATAAATAGCTCGTAGTTGTCTCCAATCCACAAGCTCTATTCACTGGAGCTCCATAAGTAACCAGATTCCCTTCAGATTTCTGAAACGCCCAGAGCCTGAGCGTCTCATCTCGCTAGTGCAATGTGTGCGATTAAAATGCTGAATCCTTTGCGGGGCTCATCGCTGGAACGAAGCGACTGGCTCGTACTCGCTGCGGCAGTGACCTAGGCGTCCACTTCTGTTTCTTTCGGGTTCTTCCACTGCCAATTCTCTCGGAAGCATTGTTGCGCAATCCAGCGCGACTCAGAGTGCAAGCAGCACTCAGCATGCTAGGAGAGGGGGTCAACAACATACGCGACCTACGCCTGTATCGCACACCGAAGCAGAAGCGGCGCTTCCAAACGGTACCACGCTGCTTCAGCGAGTGACTACCCGCAGCGCGCTGCGGCAATAACCCGTCCAACAACCGCCGGACGAGAGTAAGCGTGGGCGCTACCAATAAGCGAGGATGCGGCTCCGATTCTCGCAATCCGACAGCATCCTCCAATACCAGCGGGCCACCTGTCCGATAGCAGCGCTGGGGACGAGAGGAGCATGCTCTCTGCGGCTCCACCCTCCTTCCCGGTCTTCTGAGTCCACCAATAAGCGCCGGGCTGGCTTCTGGCTTACAGCGAGTCCTCCTGCATCGAGGATGTGCTGTAGTAGCTGCAGCTTCAGACCCCACTCTGACTCGAAGACGAATAAAGCGCGGCGAATGGCGACAGGCCACGCGGACGGCCCCGCGTAACCAGTTACTGCCCGCAGCGAGATGCGGCAAAAATCCGTCCAACAACCGCCGGACGAGAATAAGCGTGGGCGCTACCAATAAGCGAGGATGCGGCTCCGATTCTCGCAATCCAGCAGCATCCTCCAATAACAGCGCGCCACCTGTCCGATAGCAGCGCTAGGGACGAGAGGAGTATCCTCTCTGCGCCTCCCCCCTCCCCCCCGGTCTTCTGAGTCCACCAATAAGCGCCGGGCTTCAGCTGGCTTCTGCCTTGCAGCGAATCCTCCTACATCGAGGATGCTCTGCACTAGCTCAGCTTCAGCCCCCACTCTGACTCGAAGACGAATAAAGCGGACGGCACTGCGTAGGGCTCACATTCGGTTACCCTCCCGGCACATCGCACACACAATAAGTGGCTCGACAACGATCCAATCCACTCCGGCCCAGGATCCGACCATCATCCCTTGCCGTGAACCTCCTACCCCTGCGATTGTGACGGCCCTTCGGGCGGATCGCTGAGAGTCGCAGGACTGGTCGCATGGCGAATAAGAGGCGGTATCGCCCACGGGAAGATTGGCTGCGGATTTTATCGGCAGGGGAAATCGGAGCTAGGAGTGTGACTATAGCCGCATGCAGTGCGATGACACAATAAAGGGATGGGTACCGCCAGCTGAGAATGGCTGTTTTCAATGAAGACTATTCTATGGACGTTGCAATTTTTCTTATACGGTAATGCTTTATTATCGTCAGGCAAAGTCTGTGCAAAGACATGCATATCCTGACAATGAACACACGGTAACAGGGACAGGGTTGTGTTGATTCGCTATGATCATTTCTGCAGCACAAGCACACCCATGAGCCCCCCTCCAATCTCATAATACACCGCCTTGGAGAATCCAGCATCCTTTGCCAGCTGCTCCTGCTGCCGCCCTGCCACACACACAACCATGCACAGCCAAGCGCACTTACATCTCTTAGGGGAGAACACAGGGAATGAGTCATGCACTGAAATAGATAATCCAGCTGCCATTGGAAGCTGTTCCTGCTGCTACCCCGCCACACACACACAAGCACGCACATTATAACAGGTTATGGGCTAACACATGAGCTATGGAGAATGGGTAAGACTTGGCTGTTGTGAGGCCAAACTGTCTACCAGCTGTGGAGTGGGGAGGTGTCACCTGTGGGGAAGCGGTGGATGGAGGGCAGCAGGTACTCATACTCCTCTGACAGCCCAAACAGACAGCAGCACCTGGGGGAGGTATCACCTCTGAGCATGTATCACCTGTAAGAAGGCATCACCTGTGGGCAGGCACCATGTGGGGCAGGTGCTACCTGTGGGGAAGCGGCGGATGGAGGGCAGCAGGTACTCGTACTCCTCTGACAGCCCAAACAGACGCGCCACCGGCACCACCGCGTTCTGCAGCGTAAACTCCTGCATGTGGGGGTGGGGAGGGGGGGAGGGAGTGGGGAGGAAAGGGGGAGGAGGGTATGGTGTGTGACAGCTTCTGAGAGTGTTATTCGCACCACTGCGTTCTGCAGAGCAAACTTCCGTAGGGGAAAGGGGAAGAGGAAATGGCAAAGGAGAAGAGGGGGATGGGGGTTTGAGATGAGTCGAACCAACACAATGTGCTGTGCAGGATGGGGCATGCAGAGGAGAAGAGGAAGGATTGGGGGAGGGGAAGGGCATCAACCCAGCTGGTTACTAAGCAAACTAACGGGAAATGTGATATACATGACTGTTAGTCATGCCTCATCATCACTCTGCTGCTGCCCTTGAATGCACCCTTGCTGACCTGGAATGGGATAATGCTGACCTGGAATGCGGCCACGAGAGGGTCCTCTGAGTGGTTGAAGTCGAGAATCGCTGCAGAGCTACCTGCAGGTGGGGAAAAAGAGGGAGATACGGAACCTCTGATAGCCCAAAGAGACGCACGTGAGGCGCCATGGTTCAACCAAAATGCCCTTCGAAGCGCAGCAGTCCACCCAAGCCCTCTATCCCAATCTCTTCAACCTGAGAAATCCACCCCACCATCCATCCCTCACTCTCCCACCCCCCACCAGCCTTGAGCCCGCGAGCAACCTCCTGATTCACCACTCACAAGTGCACTCGTGCACTCCCAGCCATCACTCCGCCCAGCCATCCACCCACCCACCCATCCACTCCTCTCCCTTTACCCCCTTTCTTCCTGGCCCTCACCTGCCAGCCGTGAGCACATGGCAGATCTCCAGGCGCACATCTACACCACCCATCCATCCACTCCTCTCCCCTGCCCCCTTCAACCCTCTCTCCCAACCCTCTCACCAGCCTTGAGCACGCGGTGAATCTCCTGAAGGGAACGTGGAATGTGCTTCACTCAGCCATCCCTCCACCAACCCATCCATCCACTCCTCTCCACTATCCCTCTCCACCTCCCCACCCCAGGTCTCACCAGCCTTGAGCACGCGGTGAATCTCCTGAAGGGCGCGTGGAATGCTGGTGACGTTCCTCAGCCCGTACCCCATCGTGATGGCGTCAAAGGTGGCTGCATCAAACGGAAGGGCTAAGGCGTCGCCCTCTACCCACCTGGCGTGGGGTGGTGGGGGGGGGAAGAGGAGGGAAACGGGAGAGCACGGTGCTGGTGATGGTGACGCTCCTCACCTCGTACCCCATGGTCACTGCGTCAAAAGAAGCTGCATTGAAGCTTCGCCCTGCACCCACCTGCAAGGAAACGGAGGGGGGAGGCATGGGGGTTGGTTGTTGTTGCTGGTGTCACGTCACCTTTAGCCCCCGTACCCCATGGTCAGCTTTGGAGCAACGCACCTCCCTCCCATACCCTCACCCTCTTCCCTGCCCACCCTACTCACCCACCTCACGTCCACTCGGCAAGCAGAGTAGCTCTCTTGCTGCTTCTGAGCGGCAACTTTTGAGTTGACAGGAAAGTCAACTCGTTACAATGGCGCATGACACATATTCCCTTTCTCTCCCCCCCTTCCCCCCCACACCACCCACCTCATGTCCACTCGGCGAGCGGAGTAGCTCTCCTGCTGCTTCTGGGCGGCAACAACGAGCTGCTGGGCGGCAAAGTCGAGCCCCACCACGCTCCCCGAGGGCCCCACCTTCTCCGCGAGCACCAAGGAGAGATCGCCGCTGCCACAGCAGATGTCCAACGCGGTGTCGCCTGGGCGTGCTCTGAATGAATGGGAAAGGCAGAGGTGGGGAGGGAGGGAGGAGGTGGGGGAGGGAAATCCCGGAATGGTTAGCCAGCACCAAGGAGAGATCGCCGCTGCCACAGCAGATGTCCAACGCGGTGTCGCCTGGGCGTGCTCTGAATGAATGGGAAAGGCAGGGGTGGGGAGGGAGGGAGGAGGTGGGGGAGGGAAATCCCGGAATGGTTAGCCAGCACCAAGGAGAGATCGCCGCTGCCACAGCAGATGTCCAATGCGGTGTCGCCTGGGCGAGCTCATAAGGTGGGGGGGGAGGGGAGGGGAATGGGGAAGGGGAAGAGGATATGCCGCATTGGGCATGTTGTGAAACAGAAGGTGCCGCATGGACATGCGGTGAGCAAGAAATCGGCACATGGGAAAAGCGGGAAATTGCTGTCACGAAGGGAGATAATAGTTGAGCATGACGGGAGTTTGATCAGGTTTAGAAATTCCTCAAAATGGCTCTGATCAGGCTTGATCAGAAGTGGTATATCTGGGAATGCTCTGATCCCTCATCCACCACTTCCTGTTCCCCTTATCCCACTTCCCCCCCCCCCGCTCCTCCACCCACTAGTCATTCTCTCCCAAGGCACCCGCTCTCTCCCGCACCCCTTCACTTCTCCCGCTTACCCGCCCTCTCCGTTCCTCCCCTCCTCTACCCTTCACTCTCCCATCCCCCCACCTGCTCCACCCGACAGTCATTCGCTTCCACACGCGGTGCTGCCCCAGGCTGAGCCAATCGTTGAGCTGCACGTGGCAGGCAGGGTAGAAGGAAAGGGGAATTAGGTTGAGAAGGGAGAGAGGGGAGGCAGAGAAGGCAGACGGGAGAGTGGCAGATTCAAATTGGGGAACGGGCAGAGTGCAGGGGTTTGAGAAGGGAGGTCGGCTGTCGCTCTGCGCTCGCTCTTCCTCGCTCCTCCCTCCCCTCCACCCCGCCTCCCTCCTCTCATCGTCGCTATCAGTCAGGTCCGTCGGATTCACATCGGACGGCCCCTGATCGTCCCACTCCACGCCCGTCGAATCGGCCGCTGCCGAAACTATCACGCATCGCCGCTCGGAGTGCCTCTGTGTATGCCCGCTAAGGCTGCTTTGACACGTCCGTAAACGCGCGCTGACACTGCTGCTGCACGCTGCAATTCCGCTGCTGCGACCTAGCTTCCCGGCGCTCTGAAAGCCTGAATCGACGCGCAAATGCGCGCAGTTGAAAGCAGCGCGGGGACCCGCCGCAGCAACCGCGGAAGCGATGGCGGAAGGCATTCTGTAAGGTGATTGGTTGCGCGGATTCGGATAAATTCAAGGATTACCTCCCCTCACCTTGCCTTGTGTTCCCGCCAAATCGTGTCAGCCTGTTTGCCTGTGGCACTCTTGCAAGTGGCGATGGGACGTTTTCGCGTAAGTGTAACCATCAGTGTCTCCGTTTTCGCGATTTCCCTGTAATCGAACAAGGGTATGTCGGCAAGCTCGCGAAGAGAACAACTCTCAGAATGTTGGTTTGCGAAGTTAAAGCAGTAACTTGCGCCCTTCGCAAGCCACTGAACTGAGAGTTGAATCTCGTGTCAGTTTGAGACCTCGTTTCCTCCCTTGAACATTCACTCCCCATGAAATCTCGTACATTCTGGGTCACCGACATAGGGTCACTAAGTAGTTGCTGTTCAGCGCCGTTCATTCTCGCTGTATCTAATTTCAAGAGACTTTTTGAATAGTTTGTTGAGCATCGACTGAACATCGATACCTTCTATTTTTGAGGCGCCTCAAACATCGATACCTTCTCTTCTATTCTATTCGTTCTTGAGCATCGATCGATTCATTCTAACCATCCGTAGATGGAGGGCGACTGGGGGGACTTCCAATCAGGAGCCAGCGGCTTCCTCTCAGCGCAGAACGCGCCGTCATCTGCGGCGGCACCGGCGCAGGCGGAGGGGGCCAAAGAGCTCACGGCGAGCGCCGTGGAGGCTACGCATTCGTCAGACGCGGATTTGGCGGCGAGCGGGAAGTCTGCCGCGGAAAGTAGCGACTCGTTTTGGGGGGAGGGGGAGAACGGGGGGGGCGCGGATGCGGGGATGGACTTCTGGGGGGAGGTGCAGGCGCTGGGGGGAAGCGGGGAAGCGCAAGCGTTGGGGGGAACTGCGGAAGCGCAGGCGACAGATGGGGGAAGCGGGAATGACCATACGGGGCAAATGGAGCAGGGGGCGGGGACTCCGCTTTCTCCGCCTCCCGCATCCTCCGTTGACGGCGGTGGAGTTGCGGCAGCGGCGGCTGTAGCTGCCCCGCTTGCGGCACCGGTGGCGGCGTCCGCGGGAAGCGGATTAGGGTTCGATAATTCCGGGTTACCTGGGCTTCAGAGTGGGCCTACTAGCGTTCAAACTGTCGCCAGCGCTGGTTACCACTCGTCGCCAATGGCCTCAGGCGGTTCGCATGGACCCAGATCTCCCACGAAAGCTGATCCGCACGTTGCGTCGGATCCTCATTATAAGCATGATTCGATACAGCGACCGGGTGCGCATCACCCGAGCGGGTTTTCCGCCCACATGATGTCTTACTCGCACTCCTCGCCGCTCCGCCCCTCCGCCCCGCACGCCCCACACGCGCTCGACGCGCACCAGCGGAAATCCCCCACCCCCCCGCCTCCCGCCGCTGCCGCCCATCCGCCCTTCCGCGGACCAGCGCCAGCGCCTGGGCCTGCGCTGCACTCCCCGCTCTCCGCGCGCGGCCCTCTCTCCGCCCCTCCCGTCTCCCACGCACAGTCACACCCCCCAGTTTCACACCCGCTACAATCACACCCACCGTTTCAACCCCCTCCTCCGCACTCCCCACCGTCTCGCTCCTTGCCCTCCCACCCTCCGCCCTCTCACCCTCCCCCATCGCTTCCCCACCCTCTATCCCACCCGCCACTGTCACACCCGCCACTGTCACACCCGCCACTATCCCGCCCCACTCACCCCCCGCCCGGGTACAGACCCCCCCCGCAAGGTCCCCCTGGAACTGCCAAGCCCGCAGGCGGGGCAACCGGGGGAGCAGCTGTGGGGGCGGGGATTGCAGCAGCGGGGGGAAGGGGAGGGGTGGGTGCAGAGGTAGGGGCGTTAATGTCAGGATCAGGAGCTCCTTCTGCTGCCAACACTACTACTACCACCACCACTACTAGCAGCAGCAACACCGCCACCATCACTGGCACTAGCATCAGCAGCACAACTAGCACCACTAGCAGCACCAGTAGCAGCAGCAGCAGCAGTGCGTTTGCTGCGCGCTCATCCCCACCGGTCAGCTTTCGCCGCATGTCCAGCCTCGATGTCAAGACCTCCCTCGACGGTCTTGCTGTACTCGCTGTAAGCTGGGCTCGCTAGTATAAGGTGTATTTTATAACAAGCCGTAATTGCTGTAACCTGTGCTCGCTGCAATTTGTAAGGCCTTCGGCACAAGAAGCTCAGTTGTGTTTGATCCCTCTGATGGTCCTCATGCTGCGTTACATGGCATGACATCCCCACCCTCCACTTGCTCCCGGGCCTTGCCGTTTTCCATTGCATGCATGCGGAACTCCTTTCCTCCTCAACAACAGAGGCAGGGCTCATGGAGGCAGGGCTCATGGAGGGCGATAGTGGGGCTCATGGTGGAGGGATACAAGCTGGCAGGGCTGCCCCATACTGACTCTCCTCTTGCCGCACCACATGTGTCATCTGTTTCATGTTTCCTGTACTTTTCATGCTGCAACCACCAGCGGCAAGGCTCATGGCGGGCGATAGTGGACAAGGTCGTGGAGGGGTACAAGCTGGCGGGGCTGGCGCAGCAGCTGGCGTTACGCGGTTACCACGTGCTGGCGCTGATGAAGCTGCGCATGTATGGGGCAGCAGCAGAGGAGCTCACACTCCTTGGGAACCTCGACTCGCCACAGTACCGATACGAGGCACACCCGGGCATGTACCCTGGGAGGAAAGGTAGGTACATGAGTCGGGTTACATGGTTACCACGTGCTGGCGCTGATGAAGCTGCGCATGTATGGGGCGGCAGCCGAAGAGCTCACACTGTTGGGCAACCTCGACTTGCTGCAGTACCGATATGAAGCGCACCCGGGCATGTACCCTGAGAGGAAAGGTGGGTGGGCGGAATCCTATGTGGTGGGCTTGCAGCAAGGCACAGAGTAGCTCATGCTGCTGGGGATCCTCGACTCGCCTATGTGGTGGGCTTGCTGCAAGGCACAGAGTAGCTCATGCTGCTGGGGATCCTGGACTCGCCTATGTGGTGGGCTTGCTGCAAGGCACAGAGTAGCTCATGCTGCTGGGGATCCTCGACGCACCTATGTGGTGGGCTTGCTGCAAGGCACAGAGTAGCTCATGCTGCTGGGGATCCTGGACTCGCCTATGTGGTGGGCTTGCTGCAAGGCACAGAGTAGCTCATGCTGCTGGGGATCCTCGACTCGCCTATGTGGTGGGCTTGCTGCAAGGCACAGAGTAGCTCATGCTGCTGGGGATCCTCGACTCGCCTATGTGGTGGGCTTGCTACCGATACGATCCACACTGGGAAATGCCATGTCTTCTCCCCATTCTCTCCCCTCTCCCATCCCTCCTCGCTCCCATCCCTCCCCGCACTGCCTCTTCCTTCGCACTGCAAGCTCCATGCTGCCCCACCTCACAATGCAATGCAGGTGCCGCCTCTCCGTTCTCCTTCCCAATCCCTCTAATCTGCGCCCATCCCCTCCCCCCACCACTGCAGGCTCCATCCCTCCCCTCTGTCATTCCTGCCCCTCCTTCCCTCCACCCCCCCTTCGTTTCTCCAGGCTCCATGCTGCCCTTCGCGCTGCGCTGGCTGGCAGCAGAGCTGCCCCACCGCATGGGCAATCCGGCCCTCACACTGGAGCGACTGTGCGCTCTGCAGGTGTACTGCACAGCTAAGGTGGGTGCAGTGCGGTGAGCTGACTTTTAGCTTATCGTATTCTGCATCCTGCATATATTTCTAGAATGCTTCACTGAGTGACTCAATTCGTCTGTGCCTTTCTGCATGAATGACAGATGAAGGAGGTTCAAGCAAAAATGGCAGGAGACAGCAAGAGCAAACAGGGGAGAGCAGCACCTGCAGATAGCAGCAACAGCAGCAGCAGCACGAGCAAGAGCACGAGCGCAGTGACGAGAGAAGGGATGGCAGATGTGATGGCGCCAGAGGATGGTGAAAGCGTGTCTTCTCATGCTGGGCCCGCTGACGTGCCCACTAGCTCAACCTTACCCAACAGCAGCAGCAGCAGCAGCACTAAGAGCACATCACCAGCAGCAGCATCAGCAGCATCATCGCAGCAGGCTGCGTTGGTGGCGTGTTGGGCACGCAGGCGGCAGGCAGTGCGGCACGCGCTGGTCTCCCACCACCTGGCGCAGCGAGACTACCCCACCGCGCTCCTCTGGCTGCAGCGGCTCCTGCGCTACGAGCCAAGCAACGCCGCCCTGCTCTCGCGGTATGGCCTCGTTCGGCTGCAGCTGGGGGACGTGGAGGGCGCCAGCACTGCGTTTGGATTGGTGGAGAAGATGGTGGTTCATCGCGAGGTGGAGATGGAGAGTGAGGGAGGGAGTGGGGGAGGAGGTGGGGAGGGGGCGGGGGAGGGGGAGGGAGGAGGGGAGGCAACAGGAGATGCGAGTAACACAGCAGGAGCAGGAGCAGGAGCAGGAGCAGGAGGGGCAGGAGCAGGAGCAAGACGAGCAGGAGGAGGGAGCGATGGGGGTGTGGGGGTGACGGCGGCAAATCTGGGCGAGATGAAGCGGCTGGTGCGGCTGAACAAAGCTCTGGTGCACTTTGCTCGCAAGGAGCATGGGCAAGCGCTGCAGCTGTTCTCTGCGGTTACTAAAGAGGATCCCACCAACTCCATTGCTGCGAATAACAAGGTGAGGAGATGTGGTAACCAGGTTACATGTTGAGTAGCCAGCTGATGTGGTTGACTTGGAAGGCACTTTGCTCTTCTCTGCGGTTACTATAGAGGATACCACCAACTCCATTGCTGCCAACAACAAGGTGAGGCGATGTGAGGCAATGTGGTAATCAGGTTACAAGGTGGGATAGCCAGGTGAGTCAGGCAGCGCAGAAGGTGTCTCACAGGTTACATTCGGTTTGGTGTTGTAACCAAGTTACATCAGTGTGGTATCGTCATGCAGTTACCCTTCACATGGTTCCACCTACCATTTCATCCCCTTGCCTTTTGTGTTCCCGATCAGGCCCTCTGCCTGATGTACGGCCGAGATCTCGCGACGGCGGTGCGGGTGCTGGAGGACCAATTGCAGGCGAGCCCGCTGACAGCTGTCGACGAGACAGTGGTGCTCAACCTGTGCTCCATGTACGAGCTGGCGGCGTCTGATACGCTCAACGCCAAGAGCACGCTCAGCAACTGGCTAACCCGCCTCGCCCCTGACGACTTTGACTTCGCCTGCACTCGGCTGTAGCGGACTTTCAAGGCATATCAAAATCACTAAGCGCGCAGGAACTGGCTCACCGGCTCGCTCCTGACGACTTTGACTTCGCCTGAACTCGGCTAGGCAAGGGGAGGCGTGTACTCGGCTGTGGTGCAAATGACACCGTTCGCTTGCACTCGGCTGTAGCAGATGGGAGGTGTGCAGAACAGGGTGGTGAGGAAGTAGGTATGTGAACGACTTCACTTCGGCATGCTGTTACCGTGTTAATTGGTAGGGACTTCGATGAGTCTCTGTTGGGTGGGCAGAACACCTCATTGCCAGAAGTAGCAACAGAAGTAGCAATGTCCCATATTTGAGAGGAAATGTTGCCTCTTGCATGTTCCTGATTAATTTGCATGTCCCATTAGGGGGCAATTTTCGGAACATTGCAGCATGTGCTTCCCTGGTGTGTTTTACCTATTTTCAAGCCACCATGCTGAAACCTACTTGTCTGATTAATGACCTAACCAGATATATCACTAAATAGGCAATTATATAAATCTAAAATCATTTGGGCAATACCACAGTGCGCCACGGTCTTCAGTATTCTGGGCCCCTCTTGGCCACTACGGGGATTAACCCCTAGTGTTACACCCACACACCGCGTTGAGGTGGGGACCCTTCGTGTGGGACCGCAGCCCCTAAACGACACGAGCCGGGCTGCAGCGTCCCGCAAGCCCAGCTCAGACCAGGTGGCGTAACACCTGGCCAGCTGAAGGCGGGGTTCTTGGCCATCAGACTTCAAGGATCAAGTGAAACAGGCACGACAAATACATGTAATGCGAAAAAGAGAAAGAAAGCAAGGCGGAAACGGACAAGGGAAGAGGCTTACCCCGCTGCAGCGATGGAGCAGCACCTCACCTCCGTCCGTGCCGCCCGCCGTGTCGTCTCCACGCTGCCCGCCATGCTGAAGGGAATGGAAGGGGGGGGGTTAAGCAGAGGGACGCCTCTTGATGCGCGCGCGCTGCCCCCTCGCCCTCCTCGCCCCACGAGTCGACCTGAAGGGAAGGAAGGCGGGGATTAAGCAGATAAGCTCCTCTCGCTGCCCCGCCGCGCTGCCCCCTCGCCCTCCTCGCCCCTCGAGTCGACCTGAAGGGAAGGAAGGCGGGGATTAAGCAGATAAGCTCCTCTCGCTGCCCCGCCGCGCTGCCCCCTCGCCCTCCTCGCCCCACGAGTCGACCTGAAGGGAAGGAAGGCGGGGATTAAGCAGATAAGCTCCTCTCGCTGCCCCGCCGCGCTGCCCCCTCGCCCTCCTCGCTCCACATGAAGGCCCGAACTGAAGGGAATGGAAGGGGGAGGAGTGAGGACGGAGTGCGGGTCAGGAGGACATGGGACAGAGGCATGGAAGAGGACAGATCCAAGGGCCAAGGTGCTGGAGGTATGTGAGTAGCCGCAGAGGCCGAAGGTGGCCCCATGCTTCAGGACAAGACCAAGAGAGAGTTGGGGCCCCCCACTCTCAAATGACCGAGCCCATCCGCCCCTCGTCTCTGCATGACTCTCACTCTCCATTCAACAGCACCCCTCCTTGTAATCGCCTCAATTCCGCCCGTCAGTCACTCCGTCTCGTTCCTCCGCCTCACCCCATGGACGCAGGGGGAGAAGCCAGCACACGTAGCCATGAAAGATGCCTCGTCGCAGCGCCGCCTCCTTGCCTGCTCCTCCGCGCTTTGCCTACGAGCGCGTGGTTAGCAGGGCGGGTAGGAGGCAGCCACACGCCTGTGACTGCCGGCCGTGCGTCATCCCAACACGCTCGCGTCCACCTCAGCCACGCGCCGTCCACCTCAGCCACGTGCCGTCCACCTCAGCCACGTGCCGTCCACCTCAGCCATGCGCCGTCCACCTCAGCCATGCGCCGTCCACCTCAGCCACGTGCCGTCCACCTCAGCCATGCGCCGTCCACCTCAGCCACGTGCTGTCCACCTCAGCCACGTGCCGTCCACCTCAGCCACGTGCCGTCCACCTCAGCCATGCGCCGTCCACCTCAGCCACGTGCTGTCCACCTCAGCCATGCGCCGTCCACCTCAGCCACGTGCCGTCCACCTCAGCCACGTGCCGTCCACCTCAGCCACACGCCCATGCGCTTCCCCTCCCCTTGCATGCACTTACGTTGAGTGCGCTGCATGGAACAACAAGCACGGTGGTAAGTCGAGGAACCGTGAGCAAGCAAGGAAGCGAACGTAGCGAAGAATGAAGAGACAGCAGCGACAAGGAAAGACGGGAACACGACGAGCGACGTACCGTGAGTGTGGGGCGCTGGAGGCGCTGCAGTCTGCAGCAAGGCGGGGTCTTGTCACTCCCGAAGGTGGTGCGTTGAAGGGGCTGCGGCAACGCACGAGCGCGTACCCACGCCCGTGCACACACCTTGCTGCAAGCATGCACTCACCAGTCGAGCTCGCCCCTGCCGTTGCCACGTGTGCCTCACACACTCGGGCCTCTGCCCGCTTGCCTCAGGGCACTGCCCCTAGCTAGCCAATGTCCAACCCAAGCCTTAATGTCCAATCCAAGCCTCAATGTCCATTCCAAGCCTCAATGTCCAATCCAAGCCTCAATGTCCAATCCAAGCCTCAATGTCCAATCCAAGCCTCAATGTCCAATGGCCAAGCCTCAATGTCCAATCCAAGCCTCAATGCTGCTGCTGGGAGGTGCATGCAGGGACAGTGGTGGTCAGCAGGGCACGCCCAGGCCGTGCGTCATCCCACCGCCCCGTAGCTACCTCTGCCTCCTCGCCTCAAGTGCGTGGGCGACCTGCACAAGTCACAGAGCACAGCATCAGTCCCTGGCTATTCAGATCTGACAAAAACAGGAAAAAAGGACGCGTTTCAATGCACCAGGGCGGAACGAGTGGTGGAGGGCAACTTACAAGGTGAATGGCAGAGGAGCCCGTCCGTCCGTCCGCCAGTCAGTGATTCTGGCACCTCCTCTCCTCTGCACCTCCTCTGCAGCTCCTGGCCTCCCCACGCCCATGCGTTGTGCCCCAGTGTCACCTCAGCTATGTGCCTCTGCAAGGACGGGGAGGAGAGCACGTGGAGACAAGGAGGTGAGCCAGCGCACGAGAAAAGCGATAGGGACAATGAACCAGCCAGGGCAGAGAATATCCATGGCATTGCTTCCAAAGAAAACAAGGCGGTGAGAGCAGGTGGGAGAGGGTGGCAGGGCCGACCAGGGTGTGGGGTGGTGAGGGAGAAAACACATATAAGCTGGGCGGGTAGGGAACTCATATAAGTTGGGTCGCAGGTGGGAGAAGGAGGCAGGTTCAACCACGCCTCACCTCCTCGCCAGCAGCCCCTTGCCTCCTTGTCGCCTCCTCGCCTCCTCAGCTGCGCAAGTCAGCACCTTCGCCTCCTCGCGTCATCGCGTCGCATCCTGGCCTTGCTTGCTACCAGAGCCGTCCCTGCCTCCCCCTCGCTGCCTCCCCCTCGCTGCCTCCCCCTCGCTGCCTCCCCCTCGCTGCTTCCCCCTCGCTGCTACTCCCCACGTATGGCGTGTGCCAGCCTGCAGTTTGCCACTCGCCAGCTCCCTTGAGAGGCGAGCAGTGGTCAGCATCAGTGACTAGATAATGGAGTTCCTATAGAAGCAACAAATAAAAGAGCATTATTCAGGTTTCCAAAACTGAAAGTACTGAAGATCAGATTCTGCTAACCTAGAAAAGGCAACGTAGAGAAGGCAACTCACAAGTTCCTCCGGTGCGGCAGCAGTGGCGCCATTCCTCCTCGCCTCGGTCGTTCGGCAGCAGTCGTTTCCTCAGCCTCAGGTGCAGCAGTCGTTCGGCAGCAGTCGCTCGGCAGCAGCCGCTCGGCAGCAGTCGATCGGCAGCAGTCGCTCGGCAGCAGTCGCTCGGCAGCAGTCGCTCGGCAGCAGTCGCTCGGCAGCAGTGCAGCAGTTGTTTCATTGGCCTCAGGCTCAGGTGCAGTAGGAGCAGGCCTTGGACCTGCACAGGTCAAACCGGACGGCATTAGTACCTGAACATTCACTGAATGCTAACAAAATAGAAGAAGATGAAGAAACATCACTCAAGGTTTCAATATGCAAAGTGATGAAAACATTGCCTCAACTTACCATGGCGGAATGCTTCGTATGGACGCCGTCCGTTCATCAGCTTCGTCTCCTCGCCAGCGGCGTCCTTTTTGCACATGCTCGCCATCCCGTACACGGTCGCACGCAGCAAGTCGCCGTCCCGCACACGGTCGCACGCAGCAAGTCGCCGTCCCGGATACGGTCGCACGCAGCAAGTCGCCGTCCCGCACAAGTTCGCACGCAGCAAGTCGCCGTCCCGCAGACGGTCGCACGCAGCAAGTCGCCGTCCCGCACACGGTTTCGACGCATTTCCGCTCTCTGATTCCGCTCGTCGCTTCTCCGAAGTCGATGCTCGTCGGTCATCGCCTTTCGCCTCCTTGTCAGCAAATTCGCCTTTCGTTAGCAGCTCGTCGCTGCTAACGTCGCTGCTAACAGCTCGTCGGTCGCCGGCTCCATCACATGACACGAATAAGACGACAGATCCGTGAAATCTCCGTGATATGATTTGTCAATGATGCCACGAAATATACTGCCGGAAAGCCATAGCTGAGGCTCCAAGAAGAAGATCATCAGGATGTGTCGATGATGGAGCCGTAGGGATGAAGCCGTAGGGAGCATCCCGGAATTAAATCTAAAAGCCGTAGAGAGCATCCCGGAATTAAATCTACAAGCCGTAGGGAGCATTCCTTCACGAGCTTCGCTTGTCCGTCGTCGCCTGTCCGTCGTCACTTGACCGTCGTCGCTTGTCCTTCGTCGCCTGTCCGTCGCTCGGTTGAAGCAGAAACACCCCGCGCGACACCCGAGCTGCTGATGATGCCACGAAGGTACTTGCCGTCGCTGATTCTGCCAACATCTCTGACTGCCGTCCATTGCTAACCCTAACAGTTCACTGAAAGATGTTGACGATAAAGGCTGAAGTAGTGGCGTAATATCCGTAGGGATCACAGACGCTATTGAGAAAATACTGAGATATGAGT